CCCCATTGACCATGGCGGTCCAAGTCCCCATTGACCATGGAGGTCCAGATTCTCATTAACTATGGAGATCCAAGTCCTCATTGACCATGGAGGTCCAAGTCCTCATTGACCATGGAGGTCCAGGTCCCCATTGACCATGGAGGTCCAGATTCTCATTAACTATGGAAGTTCAAGTCCCCATTGATTATGGAGGTCCAAGTTCTCACTGACCATGGAGAAGTTGTGGTGCTCCACTACTGTAAGCTTTCAAGAAGAGCCTGGATAGCCATTTGTCAGCAATAGTATAGGGTGGTCAATTGTCTGTCCAGTCTCTTCTTGAAAGCTTCCAATGAGCAGAGGGTTGTACTAGAAGACCACCAAGGTCCCTTCCAGCTGTGTTATTCTGTTACTGTTAGAGAACACAGAAGGGTGGTTTAAAAAGGCAGCAACATTTGAGCCAACCGTTGAAAGAAACTTCAAAACTACAGCAGTTGCTTGAGGGTGAAAGAAAGGACTAGGTGCATCATAGCTCTTGACCAGCGGCAACGTATAAGCAACAGCATTAATTATGCATTTGATGCAACGTCTGGGTTGGTGACTGGTCAGCTAAGGGTCAGCTGACCAGCAGATCAGCTAAAGGTCAGCTAACATTGTAGTTAGTTGGCAGTGGGACATCACAGCTAGGTAGTGGTAAATGTATCTATGAAAACATGACTTGGATTTGAACCTGTTGGTGTCCTGTTTGCTAGGGAAAGCACTGACCAGTCATACCCACTCCTGAGAGACTCTTTGGACTTGTATTTGGCCATGTATCCGGACAACGTCCAGCATCTAATGCTCCAAGCGAGACTCTATTTTCACCTCGGAATCTGGCCAGAAAAGGTACTTTTGATTCGTGCTATGTAGGTGAGGCATCCGATGCATGAAATAATCAAAGGGGTGGATGGATGTTGCTTGGAGCGGTGCGGTGGCCTAGAGGCAGGGGTGGGATTCTACCGGTTCGCCCCTATTCGCTAGAACCGGCTGTTAACATTCCGAGCAGTTCGGAGAACCAGTTGTTAGAAGAAATTACTGGCCTAATCCTGTAAGGAAGGCAGGAAGGAAACATTCTGGTGTTGCTTACAGAAACTGCCTCTCCGTTAACCCTTATTACGTTTTTGGCAGGACTAGACTTCCTGTCTCAGGAACGTCTCTGGAGTTCTTTTTCCCCTCCTTTGCTGGTACTTTGCTTGTGTGGAGTGACCATTCAAAGTTACAATGGCACTGAAAAAAGTGACTTAGGACCATTTTTCACACTTACGACTGTTGCAGCATCCCCACAGTCATGAGAGGCCAGGCGAGGAGATGCGTGCCTTGTTGTGAGTGATATTGAGTTGGCCACGCCCAGCCAATAACATTAACACCAAGCCATGTCCACCAGTCACATGACCACCAAGCCACACCCACCAACTAAGCCACGCCCACAGAATCGATTGTTAAAAAATTTGAATCCCACCCCTGCCTAGAGGGGGAGTTCTCGCCTCACAATCAGGAGGCTATGAGTTTGATCCTAGGTAGAGACAGATATATTTCCCTCTCTGGGCACACTGGGAATCTATCTGCTGAACAAAACTCCTCATTGGCAACAGGAAGGGCATCCCGCCAATAAAACACTGCTAGCTCCATTCAATTGCCCAGACTCCACCCCACAAGGGATTAAAAAAAGATGATGGTGGTGGCGGATGGATGTTGCTTCTCCTAAAGAGCTTGGTTGTTTCTCCTTCTCCATTCTCTTCCCTTCTGAAAAATTGGAGCACATTAAACTCGGCCACTTTGTATTTTTGACTGGCCAAACTCCTATAAACCTTAAAAACATTGTTGGCAAGCACTATCCTATTAAATCCTCTTTCTCTCTCTCTCTCTCCCTCCCTCCCTCACTCACTCTGTCCCTCCCTCCCCCTCCCCCCTCTCCTTTTCTCTCTCTCTCCTTTTCTCTCTCTCCCTCTTTCTCCCTCCCTTCCTCTCTCTCTCCCCCCTCTCTCTCGTTTTCTCTCCCTTTCTCCCTCTCTCCCTCTCTCTCTGTCTGTCTCATGACTGCATTGTGAGTGCCTGCATTTTTGTTTTTTTTTGCAGTGCAATTTATGGTTTTTTTATTTTTTATTTTGGCCACAAATCAGCATTTATTTCTGGTTTATGCACACACAAAAAATCCACCCATGGGTTCGCTTACCGATTGCAAATTTGCTTAATGACCACGGTGATTTGCTTCATGATTTTTTTTTTATAAAATTGAGTCAGTCGCGTGGTAACCCATTTCAACGACCGGCATGACTTAACAGTTGTCATTCTGGGCTCGGTCACCGTCGTGGTAAGTTGAGGATTAGGTCGCCCTATGCTAAACATCTGAAAAGGATGAAACAAATATCCTAAGATTGGATTTTCTAAATGCGGAGTTGTAAGATGATGATGGATTGATTGGGAGCTGTTTCCCCTCTCTTAAAAGGTTCTGGACATCTTGCAGCACATCCAGGCCTTGGACCCCTCCCAGCAGGGAGCAGTGGGCTACCTAGTCCAGCACACCCTCGAACACATCGAGCGTCGGAAAGATGAGGCTGGCCCGGAGGTGAAGCTCCATTCCGACGAGAAACACAAAGACGTCGTCTTTTCCATCGGCCTGGTTATGAAGCACAAAAGGTGAGCCGGGCCTGCCTGCCCATCCCGTCCCACCAGGATTCTGTCGCTGCAGAAGTAGGAATCAACACCCGTAGAACCAAAAACAACAACAACAACAGTGCAAGAGAGGTGTGATTTTGTCAGCCTTGTAAGGTAGACACATGACCAAGTGAGACTGTTATTTTATTCTTATTAGAGTAATAAGTAGAAGAAATGAAACAAGAATGAATTCCTAAATAGATTATCTTATCTGTCTGCCTTTCTCTGTCCTCGTCTTTCCCTCTGTTTCTCTTTCTCTTTCCTTCTATCTCTTTCTCTCTCGTTTCTTTCTCTCTCTCTTTCTCTCCCTCTTTCTCGCTCTCCTTTATTTCTCTGTTTCTCATTCTCTTTCCTTCTATCTCTGTCTTGTTTTTCTTTTTCTCCTTTGTCTTTCTTCTGTTTCTTCCCCCTCCCCCTTCTCTCTCTCTCCTGTCTTTCTTTCTCTCTCCTGCTCTCTTCTCTCTTTCTTCTCTCTCTCTCTTTCTCTCCCTCTTTCTTTCTCTTTCTCCTTTGTTTCTCTATTTTTCTTTCCTTCTATCTCTTTCTCTCGTTTCTTTTTCTCTCTTTCTCTCCCTTTCTCGCTCTCCTTTATTTCTTTATTTTTCATTCTCTTTCCTTCTATCTCTCTGTCTCTTGTTTCTCTTTTTTTCCTACTCCTTTCTCTTTCTTCTGTTTCTCCTTCCCCTCTCCTCTCTCTCTCTCTCTCTCCATCGTCTCCCAACCAACATTTCTTAGAAGACAAACTTTTGAATAGTTGCTTGTCCCTGTTTCTTAATCTCCCAGGACCTCCTCCATCACCCCAGTTTATTTTTATCCTTCTCCCTACCCCCAGCAACTGGGCAGGCTTCCATACAGCTCTGACCTGCAGCCTTTTCCATCTCTTGTTTGGTTAGAGTATTTCTGAAATCTAGCTTCATGCGAAAGTCTTCTGAAAATAAAGGTGCAGCCCAGTGCAGATAATCTACTTTCCATTTTGGATCATTTTTTTTAAAAAAAATATAGTTAAGTGAATCAGAGAACATGGTGGGAACTAAGGGACATATTGGTGAACGCTGTCTTTGCAATGCCACACTTTTTAAGAGTGGAATATCAGAGGGGAAAGTTCTGGCTCAGAACAAACTCTGCTTCCTGACTTTCGCCCTCTCTTGTCAAGCCAACCAAAACAAACAAACTCTTAACTGCTAGATGAAGCTGCTGACAAGTAACAGCTCCAGAAAGGACATAATCAGTGAAGAAATATGTACTAAATGTGGTTGCAGGAGAGGTGCTTTCCACTGTTAGCAACAAGAGGAGAACATGAATTGTTCTAAGTTGCAGCACGTGGGTGAACCTTCCGTCAGTCATGAATGAGGTTGTGAGCTTATATGTCTACGATAAAGGAGAATATTTGTAGCTTGGTGTGGACATGAGGGGTCCTTGTTGCTCCCTGAGCTGGCCTTTTTTCTTGCAGATGGTTCATGGCCCAGACTAGCTAATATCATCAGTTACGTAGTAGTAGCACTGATGATGATGATATTAACCTAGTTTGCGTCATGAAACGTCTGCAAGAAAATAAGCTCAGAGAGCACCAAAGGACCCCACCATCCTTCTCCTCCTCCTCCACCACTACCACCACTCTCCACAAACCCCACTCCCTTCTAGCACTGATGATGTCACCTAGTTGGGTAATGAAACGTCTGCAAGAAAACAACCGAGCTCAGAGAGCACCAAGGACCCCATAGTCCTCCTCTTCCCCCCCCCCCCCCCCCTTCCAACATGCCAAAGAGTTTCCACCCAAGCAGACATCGCTTACGAAGATATTCCGCAGTGTCCATCCTTGTTCTCGATAGAGAATCTCTCAGCCTGCCTCCAACCATTGATGGCGTTGGGCACCCTCTTTCTGCTTGAATTTAGATACGGCTACAACTGCGTGATCTACGGTTGGGACCCAGCGTGCATGATGGGACATGAATGGATCCGGAACATGAATGTCCACAGCCTGCCTCATGGGCCTCACCAGCCTTTCTACAATGTTTTAGTGGAAGATGGCTCGTGCAGATATGCTGCCCAAGGTAGGCCAGCAGTATTCCCAGCAAACTTGTTTATGGTTTGCTTATCCACCACTTGAAAGGAAAAAAATTGGAAGGAAGGAAGGAAGGAAGGAAGGAAGGAAGGAAGGAAGGAAGGAAGGAAGGAAGGAAGGAAGGAAGGAAAAGTAAGAGAGGGAGGGAAGAAAGAAAAAGAAAGGAAGGGAAGGAAGGGAAGAAGGGAAGGAAGGAAGGAAGGAAGGAAGGAAGGAAGGAAGGAAGGAAAGAAAGAAAGAAAGAAAGAAAGAAAGAAAGAAAGAAAGAAAGAA